GACTCGTAAGGAAGATGCAGTGCTATCAACGGCTTTTAACAGAAATCGCCCGGGCGCCATTCTGCGTTTTCTAGATCCTCAGGTAGTGCTGCTGCAATACTAGCTTGCTGTCAACTGCAGTTTCATAGCGAAACCCCGACACCCGTTTACCGGCAGCAATGCCTCTTCTTTCGGTAAGAGTTCCATGCTTAGGCCGGCCATATTCTGGGTTATTGCGATCGAGTTTGGGTGGTTTCCATGTAGGCGAAAACACGTCTTCTGCAGCCTCTTTCTTAGCCTGTTCTGAGATGCGCTGAAATTTCGACAGCCCCCTTTCCATGACGGAATCTGAAACGTGTTTGACGACGGTCACGCATACAATACGCAAGGCAAAACTTGTTACTGCTCGCTTTGGCGTTGCGGAGAGACATTTCGCATTCCGCTACAGGAGGAATTGGTAGCGGCTTTGTTGTTCGTCACCAGCGCTTTCAGTCGCACTTGCGATACATCCGCCGAATTAGCTTCCAACGGCCTGCGACGTAGAATCACTAGTATTCTCAATATCACTCTCCGTTCGGTGCCAGCAAATAACAAAGTTATTCGACGCAGCTGTCAGGCAATGTCTTTTCGTTGCGCACTCGAAGTCGTATTCAGCTAGCTGCAATGGCGGCGCGAGGTGGTGGAGGCGGATACAACGACTGCACTCAAGAGGCAGTGAGGTCAAAAACAGTTTTATTTGTCTGTTAAATAAAACCGAATATTGATTGATGAGGCACATTGGGACAACCAGCCTAGCAGAACAGGAAAAGAAATCACTGCCTTTGCCTCAACGGCGAAAAAACCGCTACTCGAACATCAAACGAAAATTATTCCAACGTTTTTGAAGCTCTCCGAAGCCTCGCAGTGAATTAAGCACATGTTTCACAAGATTGCTCACGTGCTGTTATCTACCGGCGAATATTATTTTGGTGATAAATGTTTCATGATGCTCGATTTAGGCAGAAGGATCGAACGGGAAAAATGCCACAACAAAGGGTATAATGGTGAAAAGATCATCGTCATAAGCTCGAAATGTGCCAACATCATAGTAGAAAGAGTAATAATTATGTAAAAATTAACAGTTGATTCAAAGTAAATGGGAATGATGATATACGATAAAAATTGCGTCTTAAAGACAGTGGCGAGTGACAAGATAACCTCGGAAAATATCAAAATGTCATAAGGTGAAAACACTACCGATAAGAACAGAAATTTGTCAACTTCATGCTGAAAGGATTCGTCTTGTGATAAAACATGCTTTTGTCCAAAACGACGACGTTGAAGCTGCATCTATGACTATTCTGGAATTGAGACGTTGTAACTAAAACAATACATTCTAATAATCAAAATTGCTTGTCTTCTATTGTGTTCCCTTTAATAGGGATTAGCTGTTAGAGTCGGCTGCCTTCATATTTTTTTGGACTTTGGTCAGATCTCCGGTCACTTCTAGCAGTTTGATTAGTTTTCATTTCTGCTCTCTATGTTTAGATGCGTCTTCTGATTCAGTCCTAGAAAATTATGAACGAGCGATTACACAATACATAACCTTTTTCAAAGATCAATGCGCATCTTCAAAAGCATCATCCTTGCCACTAATCTAGACGCAGCCTCAGAGCAGTAGCGTATGAGAACTATGCTATTCTCTACAGTAGCTTCTTATCCACGCCATATTCTTGCAGTATTCTTCATATTTTCGACCGGAACAGTCCATGCTAATTCTTTTCAAGTTTAAAGTGCGGACGAAAGCATGTTTTGCATTTTTCCAGCATTTTTCGTGACTCAATGAAGAGTAATTATTTGATTGGCGGTGTTGGAGTCAGATCAGAATCCACACTGGATAGGCTCTATTGGAAGGCTGAGCACAGAAACGTCTGGCTGTTGCTGCAGTCTCTCTGTTTCTTCTTTGAAATACGGAGATGGCGATTTTTTTTCACTGATCCGGTGCTTGTCCGCACAACCCCTGGAGTAAATCGATTAATAGAAAATATCACAGCGATTCAATACCCTTAGCTTCTCTGATCAGATTTCGTTTTCTTGAAAAACTTTGCAAACTTTCAGTGATTAAATGACAGCTATAGCATCAGCCATTATGAGGCTACCATCTAAAAACTACACTTATGAATTATCATCAAGAGATGCTGAGACGGACTGCAAAGATCCTCAAAGACTATGTTTACTAAGACTCTATGCAGTTTTGGTGTTACCTACCTGCGTCCATAGAGATTTAAGTTACCATTTCAGAAGACGCCCTTTTATGATCGGTAATCAGAATTCAATTCCTCTCGAAAGCATTTGCTAGGCGGCATAACCATTAATCTTTATGCTGCTTTGTTTATGACAGCCGTGAACAGTAACTCCTTCGGCTTGTCATCCGTGTGTTTGGAGAGAATATCTTTTTTCCAAAGACATTTATGTTCGACATGTAAGGAAACCTGCGATGTTTAGCATAGTATGCTTCGTTTGGTGACTCTGTCGAGAGTCATGACAGTTCTTCATGACTAAAGGGATTGACGCAAATGCATATCACGGTACTTTGTTTTGGCCTGAAATTCCCTGCTCTGGTGCTTGAGAACTCCGCACATCGTGAAGCAGTATTTATTGAGAGAATTTGACTGTTGTTGTCACTGAAATTTGAATAACAATGTTCATAGTAAGAGTTAAGGCAGATATCGGCAGATAGTTTCAATTAGTGCCACAGAGATATGCTATTTTGTGTTATTGCTTTTTTTCAGTTTTGTAACTCCTTATCTGCAAATGGCAGCTGCTTATCGCCGCACATACAGTTATACTCCGGGGATGTATATGCTAGGAAATAGATGTTAGATGTGTTAAGGAACTGGATGAGCATTAATCATATCTCTAAACCGCGGGCTTCTTAGTTGGAAACCAACATGCGGAAGATACTGATCACAAAACAAGCGTGCAACGTGAATGAACTAGATCAGTTGCAGCTTTAAGTATCGAAAAATATTTTATCTGCAATGCGCTGGCATGCGTATTATTGCAAGAAGTTGCGTTTCTTTGTCTGCTGAGGTCACCAACTTAAATCGAGGCATGAGTAAAATATAGGATTATATCATTGCCCTTGCATTCGCAGTGTTTCGACTCACTGTTATAAGACACCATATTGGAAGCAGTAATTCGTCATTAAATGCAGGTATCCTCTACAGCAAATCATTGAAAAGTTGAAACAAAATCAAAGGCATTCCTCTAATGCGAATGACTCGAAAGAATGATCACAATGAAGGAGCAGAGTCCTTAACACACGACACACATGTAGGACACCTGACTTCGTTTCCTTTAGCTGTCCATTTTATTACGAGGCAGATAACTAGAATATTATTCAGGAAGAAGGAGAGCTTGAGATGTTCCCTAATACTCGAATATCTTAAAATCATTTTAAGCTACGATCGTCTATGAAAGGTTCAGATAGCCTTGCTATAAGCACCCAAATAATCGATGTTGTATATTCGAAAGCGAGATATCATAAAAAGTTGATATTGAGGTTATTGACAAGCGGAAAAGGTTAGATACTTGTAATGAACACAGCAGTTATGCAAATAATCCACCATTACGACCAAGAGCTGTACTGCCTTGAGGCGTTCTAAGCTTGTGGGAGGTAGCAGTGGCGCAACGGGTTAGTAGTTTACATCGCAGTTTAGAGGTGTCGGGTTCAAACCCAAAACGGCGTAAATTTTCTCAGATCGACTGCCCATTTCATTGAGCAGGAAATTCATCAGACTATGTTTCGATGCAACCAGCCAGCGAAAACTGGTTGCCGACCGTTGACCTGCAAATAAACCGGAGAGCATGGTGTTTTGCTGTGGTCATGCCAACGCGTGCGAGATATACGGCCATGTTGTCTGAATGTGCGCTTTCCGGTTGAAATTCGCCTTTACCCCTCCTTCCCCCGCCCCGCCCCTCCCACGTGGCCAACTAAAACTCTGTACACTGTGCCAACGTAAATTGTAAAAAAGTTTATTTACTTTGGCTTCGTGGTTTATGGCCTTGCTTTTGAGATTTAAACACTGATATCGCAATACAATGTGTTCTGTCCTCTTTATAAAAGTTTTGCGACAAGATTTAGTTTGAAGTGTCCCCTTTGCGGGATGGCTCCGTGAGTTTGTTTGTAAAAATTTTTAGACTAAGCATATAAATTTTTGTTTACACATTGTGTCAAGCTTTAGTCAACCATCAGGTTTATCAACGCTAACTGCGGCCGTAAAGCGCACTCTAATAGAATAGCAGTTTACCTCTCACGCTGTAACACGGCCACGCCAACAGCCATGCACTCTCCTCTGTTCGCAAATCAACAACTGGCTACCCATATTTCGGTATGCTGCACAAAGCACAGTGGAGTAAATTATTTGCTCCCGGAAACTTAAGGTTATAATAGGGTACATTTCATGCTGTCACGGGTTACTAAAGTTTCTAAAGCACGAAATCAAACTCTCAGCGCATGCGCTAATAGCTATTCACACTGTCGTCATTTCCCTTCATTATCAGATGTCACCTGCTGAGTATTGGAAAAATAATGTTTCTTATGGTTAGTGCAAGAGAATGTTAACTTCTCTTCAAAAATTAAACAGTAAATAATGTATTGAAGATAAATACGAGTGAAATGAATAAAATGTTATTTCCAGGAAAAAATATTGTCATTGTTATGTACGAAGAAGTAATTTAGCAAAATATTTGTTCATTGTAATATTTCTGCTAAGTTTAAACAGCCTACGCATAGCTTATTATAATCTTGGTCAACTTTAAATTCAGCTTGTAAAAATTGCGCTCAGTTCAGAGAGCCTCGTATTCAACCTAAATTTGGTGTTGTAGCTTTACGTCGCAGCATGCAGAGCATTAAACACGGTAACCCTATTCAACTTTTCATGCATAATTTTATGCAATATTGCCTCTAATTTGCTACTGCCCACTTGCCTGGTAAATTTGTTCATTTGCAGTGAGATAATACCTGTTAATTGTATCTGTTATCAGCAGTTTTGCTTCTGTTGAACTAAGCATAAAAATTAATTTCTAGTGAAAAATCATAGAGAAGTTCAAGTACCTCGGAATTGTATTAACTGGTGATGGAAAGTTTGAGGAAGAGATCGACCGGCGAATTGGAGTAGTCAGTGGCGTTCTGTGTGAACTAGCCTCACCCATTGTGACTAAAGCAGAGCTCAGTCTGAAAACTAAGCTCTCAGTATTCAAGTCGATCTTTATTCCCATACTTACCTACGGTCATGAATCGTGGACCATCACTGAAAAACTTCG